TCCTTGCCTCTCCGTAGTACAACGTATTACGATCGTGGCTTTCCGTGACAATGCCCGTATTAATCCGTATTAAAAACCGTAGCTTATACGAAGGGTAACCGTACAAATACGTAGTTCTCCGTACAAAACCGTGGAAATCCTTGACAAGTTAGTGGACTACGAATCAGTAAGGACTAGTACGTTTTCGTACGGACCAGTACGTATCAGTACGATTAATACGGACTAGTAGGGATACGCTACGGTTGACTTTTCCGTAGCAAATTTTTTGTGCATGTTCAAAAATTGTCAAGGATCGCTACGGAATATACAAGGACTACTACGATTGATTACGGTTACAATACGGAGAGCTACTGACCAGTACGGGTAGCTACGGACGATGCCGGAATTAATCCGTGGCTCTTCCGTGGGCGTATTCCGTGAATATGTGACCGGGGTATTAACAACATAACAGCTGTTTATCAATGTAGCACTTGATCGCTATTGTACTTTTAACAAAGGATTACACCTACTCCAAGCAAATGAAATCCAAGTGCGATTCAATTGTTTGCAAACTGTAAATGCGTTGTCAACGCCCTGAGTACTGAGCAAAGTAACGTCAAATAAGCTGTTAATTGTACTAATAAGTTTGATCATTTTCTTTTCAACGTGAAAACTAGTATCAATAACATACATAAATAATTCTGTACACATTTCTCTAAAACCTGTGTTTATATGTTGTTTTGTGTCAGTAGATTATAATAAATATTCTGCACTTTTTATGTTATATTTGGTTGAATTTGGATTTATCATAAGTGACATATTCGCGGCTATAAAGATTCGCGGACTCATGCCTACCGCGAAAACCGCGAAAACTTAAAATGTGCGAAATCTTTTCTAGGAATACAGTACCCAATCTTTCATATTTATTTAATAGAAACTTGGAATTATTAATGTTATGTGCATACATTTATATCTTAGTATATTCGTATGATGAGACTTATAATATTTCTGAATTTAAAGAGTTGCAGTTATGTCATTATTATTAAAGGGATGAGACTTTCATTTAAAGTTATAAATGATAATACATGTATTGATTGAAAATGTCCTGAAACTTGGATCAAGCAATATAATTGATAAAGCCTCAAAAAATCATGTTCTGAATAGTTATTCTAATTTTTTTCTAACATGTGCATAGTTTGAAAAGGACAGCTTCTGCCTTATCTATTTGTAATGGAGGGACACGGTCTCAATCTCCAGGTCTCCTGAGTCAACCCGACAACAGACTTTTCATAGAGTAGATTGGTACTTGTCCTTGAATAAATTTGTACACTAAATTTTATAGTGGGTGATTTGTGCGACATGAAAACCAACAAAGTACAAAAAGTAACCGGGCGCCAGATGAAAACATGAAAATACAATCTACCACAAAGTGGTTCGTTTGTTGCATTTTCATGTTTTCGCCCGGTGCCCTTTGATGTAAAAATACAAATCAGCCTTCATAAAATTTCTTATCATAGAATATTGTACATGTATTAGCACAGTTATATTCACTTTCAAATTGACCTGTTATAAATAATGGCACAACCAATAACTGTCTTAGCCCTTTTTAGTAAAAATAATTATACAATAATAATTATATAAATTGTTATTTTAATTAAGACTATGAGTATGTAAGGTTTTTTTTCTTATTTATTAATTAAGAATTAATTATCTGTTAATTTAAAAATTTAGAACTGTTCACTATTTAGGGGAGAAAATGTGTAAGTGGCCAGATAGCTCAATCGCTACAGCCGCGGTACATTATTCTGTGGGTCACAGGTTTGAGTTCTGGTCAAGCTGAAAGTTTTTCTCATCCTGTTACTGCAAATAAACATTAGTTTAATTTACTATGCTCTGTAAACATCAGAAATTCAAGTACCCACTGTATAGTGGGATAAAGGTTTAGGTTTAGAACTGTGAAAAAATGTGTAGCCGGCCGGATAGCTCAGTTGGTCTTCTGAAAGTCATGGGTTCGAGTCATGGTCAGGCAGTTTCAGTCAGGGTTTAGAAGTGGTTTTTCAACTGACACATGTTTGATTCATTTAATAGATTGCATTTAATTTGAAATGGACAAAGGCAGTATTGCGTGATACTTTTAAATCTATACAAAAAGCATTTGGTACAGTTGATCACACTATACTGCACATGAAGAAGTTCTTTTTTCTTTTTCTTCATGGAACTTCAAGCATCTGCCATATGTAATGACATTCTTAAATGGTTCAAGTCTTATCTCTGATAGCAGCTGGTGAATGTGGCTGGTACTCCTTCTCTCTGAATACCTATGGTGTCCCCCTGATGTTCATTTTAGGTCCTCTTTTATGTCTAATATATGTCAATGACATGTCTGCAACCCTAAGCAATAAGCTTTTATTATATGCACAGGCACAAGTATCAGACCTGGGAAGAAAAAATATTACCAGATTGATAAAAAAACATGTGTTCATCTTAAAAGTGTCACAAACCAAAAAAAAATGTAAATGATGACCCCCTTTAAAAATATACTTAAAGTTAATAGTATATTTTTAAAGGGGGTCATTATTTACATTTTTTTTGGTTTTTGACACTTTTAAGATGAACACAGATTTTTTATTAATCTGGTCATATTTTTTCTTCCCAGGTGTGATACTTGTGCCTGTCATTATATGATGATGACTCAGTTATCCTTGTATCTGGTAAAGTAAATCTTAAGATTGGTTTATTGACTATAAATTGTCTTTGCATCTTGGCAAGATTCTTTTTGGTTTAAGTTTCAACATAAACTGGGCCAAGCCTCCAGGTCACATGAAATGGTACTGCTATAAAGTACACATCTTTTGTTAAGTATTTAGGTGCAAACCTGGATCAAATTCTTTTGGCGTCGCCCTTTGATGCTTTGCATCAATGCTTTTCTTGTATAATTATGAAATAGAAATTTCAACTAAATTTTGCAATACCACGTTGTTTTGAAAAATTAAAACAATTTCTTAAACTACTGAGAATTAAAAGAGTGGTTCCTAGAATGAATGCGTGCAGCTTTAAAATATATTTTTTCCCGTCTGAATACAAAAATTTCACTACCCCTTTTAATATACAGTAATGTGTAAGATGGTTTTGATTTTTGGGAAATAAAAACAAAACGTTGTGTAGCTTTGACTTTTACAAATCCTAAAAGTAATATACAATAATAAAAACATACTCAGAAGTGATTTTTGACTAAATGTAACTAAAAAAGCCCAAATATATGAGTTTTGCAAAAATATGCCACGCCAAAAAAATTTTTGATTAAAATTATAATTAATTTACCAGCCCCTCCCCTATGGGTTCAATCCCACAGGGACTTTGGATTATTTCATGTGAGGAAGCTATCCAGCTAGCTTACGGAACGTCGGTGGCTCTACTCAGGTGCCTGTTCGTGCCTGCAATTATGCACAGAAGGGCACATGAATTCTTCCTCCACCAGTAAAGCTTCAAAACGTCGCAATATAACCTATAATGTGTCGGTGTGACGTTAAACCAAATTAAATAAACAAAAATATACGAGATTATAATTCTGAGGTGAATTTATATAAAATGGTGTGTTTTTAATGCTAGTTTATAGCCTAAGCTTCTATAAGCAGTATGCATGAATCATGAAATGAGCCGTGTCACGACAAAAACAACATATATGGGTTTGCTGGTCCCCCCCCCCCCCGCGTAGTCTTATCAGGATCCGTGCTGTTCGCTATCAGTTTCTCTACTTGTTATATAGTTTGTAAGCACATATGCGCAGGATGCGCGGATACGCAGGCTGGTCTGGATTCATGCTGGCCGCAAATCGATTATGTTGGTTTTGTCGTGACGCGGCTCAATTATCTTAATTTCAGATAGACGAATATGTTACAATGGTCCCTGATATAACTTATGTGATCTATATACTTTATCTTATGACCGGATAATGTTAAAAAGATTTAGTGATATTTAAACGTACTTCGATTAACGTAAAAAAATGTTTTAAGTTGTTTTGATTTATATCATATTCTATGATGACAACGTAGTCATTATAACGCCAGTTAATGTCAGGCGTAACATAACTTTCCATTATGCAAACTTTCTGTTTTTAAGAACTGTTATGCCACTTTCTATATTTATGCTTCTGTCCACCATTTGGTACAGTATTAGTGATTAAGTATTATGTAGAAGAAAAACTATTTCATGTACTTTCCTCCACTGTGTTATTGATACTACTCTCATACATAAATGACTACTATATGTACATAAATACATGTACATATACATGACTACTCTAAAATAAACATGACAGCACGCATAAATGCATGACTACATAAATACATACATACATACATACATACATACATACATACATACATACATACATACATACATACATACATACATACATACATACATACATACATACATACATACATACATACATACATACATACATACATACATACATACATACATACATACATACATACATACATACATACATACATACATACATACATACATACATACATACATACATACATACGTACGTACGTACGTACGTACGTACGTACGTACGTACGTACGTACGTACATACATACATACATACATACATACATACATACATACATACATACATACATACATGACTAATCTCATCAATAAATGACTACTCTGATACATACATACATACGTACGTACGTACGTATGCATCCATCCATCCATCCATCCATCCATCCATCCATCCATCCATCCATACATACATACATACATACATACATACATACATACATACATACATACATACATACATACATACATGAAAACACTCATAAATACATGACTACTCTCATAAATACATGACTACTCTTATACATACATGACTACTCTCATAAATACATGACTACTCTTATACAAACATGACTACTCTCATTCATAAATGCACATTGTTACAGATACAAAAAAATGGGGTAAAAAGTAGTTTAATTTTGTGTTTTATTTCATAAATAACCCAAACATATTTTATTTAGTATAAACATATATAAATATTTGCTAACATGACATCAGATGTAAATAAAAAAAAACAAACATAAAGTCCACTCAATTTAAAATGATATCAGATCAATCCAAGTAAATAAATGTTTGCGATAACAAGAGCTGTAAATAAGACAGTGATTGACATTAAAAAAGGAATCATTTCTCTGTAAAAAGTTATAAAGGATTATGGAAACTGTGGTGATCATGTATGATTTTCACAGAGAACAAGTATGTAAAGTTTCAACCCATTCCCTTCAGTCGTTTTTGGAGATACCAACATGAGCTAAGATTGACGCTAGCGTCGATGTGTGTAAAAGTGGTTCTCCTATTCCTAGAAAAGTCAAGATAAAAAAATCTCAGTAATGCAGTGTTCGCACCTCTTCAACAACAACACGCTCGGTTTTAACGTTTCTGACGTACAATGTATAAAACGTATTTCAAAAAAAAATATTCAAGGTGAAATAAAAATATGCTAAAAACATGGCAAACAATATACTTTTTAAATCATATAAATATATAAATAGAAAAAGTAAAAACGTTGATTAAATATACAAAATAAATAGTATAAATATATATATGTGTATAATGCTACATGGCACTAATAGATTCAATAGTAAAGTATAAGCATTGCCAATATATAAAAATATCCATGAAAATAACAACACATAGATATAAACAAAAAACAAACTATTCATCGAACCTTAAAAATCAATTATGATTTCATAGGTAAAATATCAGAGGTACTTTATGTATGTACTGAACTGCTATCAGAAATGTCTTTAATATCATTAAAACTTCACTTTTAAAGCTGCACACCTCCAGATGATCCAAAATATCACAAGATATTCAGTCTTTAGAAAAATGTATTAAGATCTAAAGAAAAGTAAACATAATCAATATTTAATTAACTATTTACATGTTATGTGCGATAAATGACTGATTTTGCAGTATCAATCACTATATTCTTCTGCATTACTAACGCAGTTGGAGATATTTATTTATATTTTGACCTTTCTATGGTAATTTAAGTGGATTGTAAGTGCCGTTTGAAATGTGTAAATTACCGTCTTTGTTCACTTCACAGTATTTTACTTTATATCTTTTTAAAAACATTTTCATGAACATAAGCATTAATCTGGAGGCATGCTGCTTTAACCTGCTCAATTTCTTAAGATACACGTCGTGTTCAGCTTTCATTTTTAACCATACATTAAATTTAATGGATATCAAAATGATAATTTTGAAGTTGATCAACCACATCATGAGAGCATGACCAGACTACATAGTTAATCAAGCTGTTCTCCCTATAGTGCTGGCAAAGACTAATCACTTTCTTATCAAGCCAGTTTAAAGGGACTCCACTGAGGTTTTTTGACATGATGGGACTAAGAATATTTTTTCCAGATAAATGTACTATTTGATTTATATTTAGACCACTAACCGACATTTAAATCATTCGCATACTTCGTTTTTTCAGAATTATGATTCAAATTGTAAAAAGGTGACCCAAAATGAAAAGTGTATAGGCCTAAACGCTTTTCACTCAAATCGATCTATGGAAAGCATAAAAATACGATTTTCAATTTACATCAAAGTATATTTCTTAACAATCTTTGCATATATTTCTGTTTAAAATGCCCAAGAAATTCAAATGTTATGTGTTTAGGCTTTTTAAACCTCAGTGGAGTCCCTTTAAGGTTTATATCATCAATAAATCATAATTCTTTGACCATAGGAATAACATAAAGTGAGTATTCAAAAAATAACCTGCACAGATATTTATATAATGACTTGTATCACACAATATACATGTAAATATGGCACGGAAACTTTTATAAATACAACAGATTCCAACATGTGTGAGCCATTGAACTAAATTGTATCAATCAGTCAGAGTATGCGTATTCAATAAGTTATAGCTTGTAACGTTTCAACGTATCTATTTTAAGTCAAAGTTGAGACTTTTTCTGTACACAATGTACCAGTGTATTGCTTTTTTTTTTACTTCTGTTCAAAATTCACGAAATCCTGTAACATAAGAAAAGAAAACTACGACTTTATTCAAGCCTTGTCAAATAAAAACAGTATCACATATGTATGCATACATGTATAAAAAAAATTGACAATATCAAAACAATTCAACAGTGAGTTAACACTATTTTTTAATTACTACAATAGTGATGTAATTTGATTTTATACATAAATAAGTGAGATGCTATCTGTTAACGTTTATGTGTGGCAATTACATCTACTGATTAGCAGAACAGTTGCATTATAATTTACAAAACTAGCTTTTTAGAAGTCTTTTTGAAAAACAAGGATGATAAAATAAATTTTACTCACAATGAAGAACACTGCTCCAATAAGAAGTATCTTTTTATTTAAGTCTAGATCGTGTGGCACTGAAATAAAATGAAATAAACAAACTTTTTTTCTGATTAGGAAAATGACATTTTTTCCCGCTATCTTGCTAAATATCTAAAATGGACAAAAACATTTTTAATGTAGTGAATTTTGCAAAATATGTACTGACTCAATTGCAAACAGTGAAGAATTTCTTACATGACATAAGTCTTACTGATTCTCGGGTTTGAAATTGTTATTAATAATTGTACATATGAGCCGCGTCACGACAAAACCAACAGTTTGCGAAAGCATGGATCCAGACCAGCTTGCGCTTAGGACCCATGCTGTTCGATTATCAACCCTTTAACAAGTACATTAACTGATAGCAGTCATCATAGATCCTGATCAGACAGCGCGGATGCGCAGGCTGGTCTGGATCCATGCTGGTCACAAACGCACTATGTTGGTTTTCTCGTGACTCGGCTCAATTATGTCAACTTTTAAATTAACATTAAATACATCTTACATTCATTATATTCAACATTGAAAACAAGAAAAAATATACAAAAATCTAGCAAACACATCAATATTTACTTTCAAGACGGAAGGTATCAGCGTTTCCGATCGCCTCAACACAACATCCCCGGTAAACCTTGGCCATTCTCCCTACCTCAGTTGTAAGAGAAGGATCAGTTATCTGTTATATGTAAAGTTGAAAACTTCTTGCTCACATATTACATATATCAGTTTCATTGTTAATACGTAATCAGTTACATAAAAAGTATACAATTGTTACATTTTATGACACAAGTTTAGTTTAAAATGTGAAAGCATCACTTGAAAAAATATTAAACAATTCTTACTTTGAAACAACCACGCCCTCGGTCCCCTCTGCATCATTGTATCATCTATTGTTTAATTTATATCAGCAGTATTCATCCGACATCGTCTTGCTTTATTGAGTAAACGACTTCTGACATTAATTAATCAATTTCTTCTCTTGGTCAAAACATAAAAAAATGCACGGCAATTGAATATCATTTAGTCATTTATTTATTTTCACCACACCAACACGTGTCTAAATGATTCCCTTCCAAGTGTTCATTCTCTTTTTTATAATGTAAAAATGCAGATAAGTTATCATTATGATAAAGGATAAGTGCTAATAAAACGCTTGTCACTATATGATAATAACTTACTGGGAAAATCAAATCAGCTGGATGGCAACAGTCCTGGCAGAAACAACAAGGCACCCAGACAGTGTACAGATGACGGTCATTATTGTCAAATATCCGTACATGAGTATCACATATAGAATTCCTGTAAAGACAAAGCTGCTTGTGATAAAGTAATTCTATCTCAGATTGTACCTTTCACACCTCATGATATAAAAAGTCACATGATTTAGATTAATTAAATTTGGATAAGTTAGATACGCTATAGACATTTAAACTATTCTGACAAATATACGACAAATTAAACAAACACTTTTTCTGAGGATATATGTCTAGATTTTATTTTCTGCATTTGAACTAAGAGTACTTAGCCAGTTTTGCAACTTTCTAAAAGTTCATTAATTATAGACATTCGAATGTAAAGATGTTTCTTTTTTAAAGCTGCACGCCTCCTGATGAGCCAAAATATTCCAAGAAAATCAATCTTGACAACAATGTACTAATAAATATATTAAAGTATCAAGATTCAAGATTCTGGTAATAACTTACATGTAATGAGCGATTGATGACTGATTTTGCAATATCTCTTACGCAGTTAGGGCTATTTTGGCATTTTTGACATCTTATTGGTAATTCATGGCGTGGATCACCTTGTAAATGTAAATTACCTTCTTTGTTCACATCGCCATATTTTACTAAAGACAAATTTTCAAAATTGTCATGAAAATTGGCATGCATTTGGAGGCTACTTTAAAATGCATAATACTTTTTTTCAATAGTCAGTCATGATAATAAAGAATTTAAATCATGATAATACAACAATATGAGCCGCGTCATGACAAAACCAACATAGTGGGTTTGCGACCAGCATGGATCCAGACCAGCCATGCAGTTCGCTTACCAACTCTATTACAAGTAGAGAAACTGACAGCGAACAACATGACGCCTGATCAGACTGCGCGAATGCGAAGGCTGGTCTTGATCCATGCTGGTCGCAAACGCACTATGATGGTTTTGTCATGGCGCGGCTCATTATCACTTACGCAAGAGCAATCTTGCCAAGATTACATCCGAAGGGAGATTCCGCCGCTATCTCCATGCTACAACAACCTTCTGCACACCAACTACAACCGGTGCACTGTTTAAACTCTCGAATAAATCTCATTATATTCTAAAAAAATAACACAGGATTTACAAAAATGGAAAAAAATGTAATGATAATAGTGCATAAAAGAAAAATTAAAAAATCTAAACAATTTATAACATCTTTAAGTAACAAAATTGATTGAAAATGAATACCTGTGAATGAGTTGATCAAGCCCATTATGCCCTAAAATGCTTTTATTTTTATTTACCCAAAGCTTCATTATTTTGGTGTATTTCTATTGTTTCCAAAAAGTTATTTATTAATTTACTTCCTTTTCTTCGGTTACCTTTGGCAATTAGAACAGTAAAAGTGATTCTCTACTTAGTATGGAAGTCAAAATACTACTTTGTTTAAATTTTGCTTCTTTTATGATAGATAATTTCACATTAAGGACTATTTTAGGCAGGAAACAAACATATGAAATTCTCTAAAACAATTATCTTAACTTTATAAAATTCTTTTTTGCCCTTTATTTTTAAGAAGTACAATTGCATTCATTCCTGAGGACTACATAATGTGCCCTTAAGTTAAAGCACGTCCACTTTCATTTTACTGTACTTATCATTTATATTCGAGCGTCATGTAAATTTTTGTTTCCTATTGAAAGTAGTAAGGCGTGGCTAAAAGAATATTTTGTCAAAACTCCATCTTGATCCGCACATGTGCAAACATGTGAACTTTTTTCGATGATCAAGTGGGAGATTTTCCTTGAAAAAGAAGGAGATTTTAGTCTTTGCAAAAAAAACCCAATGAAGTTCTGACATCAAAAAAGGAAGATTTCTTTAGTATGTGGAAATACCCCCTATTTTAAGAAAAATCTTTGAAAATATTGCTGCATAAAATGGGAGTCTCCCACTAAAAGTGGGAGTGCTCACATGTATGCATGTGCTCTTCTATGTTCGAATTCATCCGTCCAAAAATTGTGTCAATGACCAGTGGCAAGCCAAACAATTAATGTCGTACGTTATTTTCAAATTTCATTCAGTCTGAAAGGTTTATAAAGAATACTTGTGATAGTGAATAATGTGAGAATGACTAATCTAACGTTACCATTAGATGTAATATCGTACTCAACTGAAATTAAACAAAAATAAAAACTTACCCTGTTTTCATTATCCGTTACATTCAAATGGAAGCCGCGATTTGCTGAACAATGAGTTCGCTCACAATTGTCCGATTCTGCAAACAATATAAATCTATAAATAGTGTTATGAATATCGGAATGTAAACAGCAATAATAACAACAACAACATCACCAACAATGACAACAAGGAGAACTGTCACAGTCTGGAAGGATGCCCCACTTCGCACTCCACTTTGAGAATATGTTATTCATTTTGATTAAGTCAATCTAATAAGCATTTTAGGTACATCATGATATTTTTAAATTCTTTGTTCATATTTGACAAATAATCATCTTGGATGTTTACAGTTAAGGAAGTCTGAATTTGTGTTAGAAAGTTAGAACAAATTACAGATTGTGCTACATCGACAAATGGTACAACAACAGTGAGAATGACTGTATTAAATACCAACACTAGATTCGTATGTATTACAATAGTAAAGTAAAATAAAATGCATATTTTGTATTGTAATATACCGGTATGCAGTCTAAAACTGCCCCAAAAATTAATTTTTAAAAGAGGTACGAGATTTTTTGACAATTATTCTAGAGCGGCATGGAAGGGCACCTCGCCCTGCTTTTTTTCAGTCCGCAATTTTGCCGCTTAAACCGCCCTGTTGCACTTCCATGTGCGCGACTTTTTTAATTGTTAATATGTATAACGGTGTTCTGTTTGGACAATCGTGACTTTTTATTTGGTCTGTACCCGCGATCCACGATGGTACGATGGTGAAAGCGCCATGGCACGATGGTGAAAACACGATGTTACGATGATGAAAACGCGATGGCGCAATAGTACGATGGTGAAAACGCGATCGATATTTCACCATCGTATCATCGCGTTTTCACCATCGCACAATTGCGCCATCGCGCCATCGCGTTTTCACCAACGTGCCATTGCGTTTTCACCATCGAGCCATTGCGTTTTCACCATCGTGCCATTGCGTTTTCACCATCGTGCCATCGCTTTTTCACCATCGTGCCATTGCGTTTTCACCATCGTGCCATTGCGTTTTCACCATCGTGCCATCGTCTTCCGTAGGTCATGCGCTATGTTATATTTTTATCAACAATGTATGCTTTCTCATTTTTGAACCCACCCTTTCTATTTGTGTATCTTTTAGATCTTAGTATTTGGAACATGAAATTAACAAAAGGCAATCACTCTAAAATTTAAAAAAAAAGTTGTCAGCCTTGAGGATTATACAAATAAAGTTTCAAGTTGATATATTAAATAAAGCAAGAGAAAAAAATGCAAACATATATATAGCATATTTAAGCATATATTAAATAGTCTTTGATCTTTATAAAGTATCACGACATAAATAGAAAATTTAATGTAAAGATAACAGTTTTATTATTTATAACTCAAATTAAATATCAGGTATTCTAAATTTGTGTTTTTGATCTACCTTAACAGGATCTGACATCTTTCAGTATGTGTACTGATTATACTGAGGGCGCGATGGCATAATGGTAAAAACGCGATGGCACGATGGAGAAAACGCAATGGCACGATGATGAAAACGCGATGGTACCATGATGAAAGCGCGATGGCACGATGGTGAAAACGCGATGGTACGATGGTGAAAGCACCATGGTACGATGATGAAAAAGCGATGGTACGATGGTGAATCCACGATGGTACGATGGTGAAAATGTGATGGCACGATGGTGAAAACGCGATGGTACGATGGTGAAAACACGATGGCGCGATGATGCGATGGTAAAATGGTGAGAACGCGATGATACGATGGTGCAATCGCTATTTCACCATCGTACCATCGCGCTTTCATCATCGTACCATCGTGTTTTCACTATCGTACCATCGTGCCATCGCGTTTTCCCTTTCAGACCATCGTGCATCGCGATAACAGACTGAATTAAAATTCACGACTGTCGAAAGGGAACACCGTAATGAATAAATCATAATGTTTAATACTAAATACTGATATACCTGCTTATTAATATTGATTTTGATAAAAAAATGTTAATCATACCTTCGTTTACAAAAAAAACTTCCTGGAAATCTTTGTTCAAAATTTGATATCTGTTCCTCGTTTCAACCCCTAATAATGCTGAAATGTAATCATTAAAATGACATTGAAAAAGATGTAGGCCCCTATGACACAACAAAAAAGAGGAAAAATGACTACACATACAGAAAGATGCCCCAATTCCAGAAGCTTCTCAATGTTCTTTAGCGTGCATAGTATTTAAGAACTCATACACAGGACCTCCCATCCGAAAGACTGTTTTGGTAATTATAGTTGGCAAGCCCGGGAATCGAACCCACAATGTCTCATGGTCTAACCGAATAAGCTATGCGACCTGGCTGTATTAACAGATCAGTTTTATCGATGAGGATTTGTAAACATGACTGAAATTTTCGATCGGTGTATTAGTTTTATAAACATTTATTCAAATACTGCACCTTCACGTAAGTCCATATTCTGTTTGACAATGATTGTATCTAACCCCTTGAGATATTCCACACTTGTCGGAAGTTGTTGTGATGCCAAACCCATCTCCATGCCTGTAATGGTAAAACAAATGAACCACCGCAGCCCTTGAAGTGCTAAATTCATGTTATAGATTTCCCAAAGTTTTGACATGTAACAGTCCAAAAACAATTTAAGTTTCAATATCAACAGTATAGAACCTGCATGTATTTACAGGCTGCATTAATATATCCCTAAAAAGTTTTCATTGATGCACAATTCCAAAGCTCTTGCATCTAAGTGGATGCATACAAATATTATGCTGGCTTCACCAGTCTTACTGAATATCTAAAAAGTTAGAAATCTTAAGAGTAGTACTTATATGAAGATAAACTTTTTGTTTATTCTGAAATTAGTTACTGGACACCATGAATTATTAATTGGGTCCAAAGGAATATAAATACACTGTTGTTGAACCCCTTTAATTACAGAACCATTGGCCTTGAAAATTAAAAGTGATGTCAATTTCCGCTAATAACATCCAGTCTAATGTAATGTTTACTTATTAACTCTATTAAGAATGAGAATCAAAAAGAAAACGACAAAAAATTCAAAGAGGGTAATGTGAAGCTGGAATGGTTGTGCAAGCTTAGGTTTTTAAACTCACTCTATGGTTTTATATTTATTTATAAAAAAAACAAAAAAACTTCAACTGTCTTTATTGAATCCAAAAGCATGATATTTAAAGTATGTTAACAACTAGAAACAGTACTGTTCATATCTTGTTTTTCTTTTCTAATAAAACAAAGAACTGTAAAACGTTCAGGAAACGTTTGAAGTTTATCACAGATTTGATTTTGATTCTCATGTTCTATGACTGATCTTTTCAGTTTATAATCATATGTATATCCGAATGAAATTTAAACGCTCAATAATGCACATTTTCATGTTATTTTGCTATTTTTAGTTATTCCGATGGATCACCTTTTTCCAGATATTTACATAGATCTAGTTAAGGGTGTGTCTTTTTGTCATTGTACTTACCATCTCTTGGCTGATTCGTTATCACACCGACAGTTGTCATTTGTATTTTTGGTCAGGTCTGCTGCTGCTGCCTGCAATATCAATACAGATCTATAAATTATGTTGGCTGATTTGGTACACTTTGCGTGTTGCGTTGTCGATTGCGACAACACAACCTATAACATTATTGCATTTTCGATATGTCAATAGCCAAACAGGCAAAATAGCGTGTTCTCGCACTGTCATCTTGTCGTCCGGTCACTAGCGAAGCACGCCAAACGGCGCGTTGTCGTATGTAGCGTTTTCGCGGTGTCACCAAGTCGCTTGGCTTCTATATATACAGATAGCCCATCCTTCGATTTTAGCCGAGCTTCAATGTGGCATCGCCTGACATCGTTTGGCGTGCATCGTTAACGACAGGAAGACAAGACGAAAGTCCGACAACGCGCTTTGTTATACTGTCAGACGCACAAAAGTGTTCTAAATCAGCCACCATTGTTTTCAAAGCAATGCATATATCAAATGGGTGTTATTTGAATCGCTAGTAACTGTTATAGTTTTATAGAAATGAACCTGAACGGTTCATTTCTGTCACATTTTCGAATTAATTAATGCCAGGAGGCCAAAAGAACAGTTACTGTTAAGATTATCATTACGCTTAAAAAAATGAGGTTATAAAATCTATTTAAAATGTGTCTTTACTTTGATATGATATCCATTATTCTTGTTCAAAGATTTAATGTAGGGATGCTGGAATAATTGCTAAGTGCATTCAATAAACATTAAATTGTCTTAAAATTGGTCTGCATTTTTTATGACAGGTTTATTATGACACACATTTGCATCTAATTTTCATTTTTGATTTCTGATTTCCTTGTCTGCGCAAAAGCAGGTCTATTTTTTTTGGATGAAGTCCGTCTGCGAACGGTTTGACTTCCTGTAAAATTTACAGAGATGAACTGAATATAAGTTGGATTTCCATCTGTCATTTTTAAAACACAAACTGAAATCCAGGAATTTTAATGGCCATTCTAAAATTAGTAGAATAAAAAAAAATTTAAAAGGAGATTCGAAATCAAACTTTCTAGTTAAATGACTCGAATATTTGAGATATGTGAATTGTGCTCCCTCCTTTTTAATATTTTAGAACATTTTACGCTGCTTTAAAGATTTTCTTAATTCTTAAGTGAAAGGCTTTTCTACTGTTATGAATAGCAAGTTTGCCCACTTATTACGCTTTCGATCCCTGAAACTCATGTATATGAAAATATCGATAGACACTCAATAAAACTGCAACTTTTCTAGTGTTTGTTTATTAAATTATATGATTATTGATGTGTTCATGTGATGTGAATATCATAATTTCCTTAAATTTGGATATCAATGAAGCATATATTAATGCGTGTATTCATACGTCAATGAAGGTATTCATACCGAAACAGGACAGTTTCATTTAGAAAGGTTTCTTGCAAAGCTTCTTACTAACCATTGAATGCTATGTCAGTTTAAGCGTTAGTATTTTGTTTTTGTTATGCTTATTCCGCATTCTTCTTAAATGACATTCATGACATCATAACGATATACATGAGAGTAAAAATGAATTCAGCGGCAATGTTAAGAACATACGATTCTTAATGATTGCGTCTTCGATCTTTGCTACAGAATATTATTAATACATTGCAAAGCATTATTGACAAACACTGACGTCCTTGGTAGAGTGGTTAAACTTTGTAAAAGTAAAAGTAACACGACGTATTTTTAAAAAAGATAATCGGTCGGGCTATTACTGCATGTCGTATCTCAGGAAACATGGAAATAGAATAATAAGGATTATGATATTTGGTATATTTTTGAATTTTACTTTTAAATTTTTTAAATATTAAAATCCTATGTATAAATTATGTTGGCACAAAAATATTTTAAATAGAAAACAAAGAGTAAAGTCTGAGGTAATTTCTTTAAAACTAAAGAAGAAATAAGAAGTAAATAAGAACTACAAACAAAACAATCTAGTTCGTACTCAGATCATTCTTAACGTCATGTTATTCTTATATATATTATTGTGAATGTCGTTTTAGCTCAAAGAAAATCATTTAAGTAATTGAAGTTTATTCGAATCGAAATTTTAATAGAAAGTTTAAAAATGACAACGTTTTGTTGATGCGAAATACCCCAACCAACTGAATGGCAACACCTAGAAACCTAAAATAAAAAATAAGATCTAAATTAGTTTGACAAACTTTATTATAAACAAACCATTCAACCGTTAGCGGTTATATAAATGCTTCAAAAATATGTAAAATACATGAACATTATAAACTTTGTACTTAAATGATTATACCCAAAAATTCGTTTTCTTGTGTGCTTTCGTTATTTTCACGCGCATGAGTAAACAGGGTCGTGATTGTGGTTTCGTTACTGTTTGAAGAAAAAAATATAACTCGTCAAAAATTATCTGTAGAAGGGTGCACCTAATGATGTGTAGTTAAACAGAACTAAATTAAGTATCTGAAATTTAACTTGATAGTAAAAGAACTTATGAATGTAGATAGTTTGTTTCCAGATTCCTTTAAATCAATCATGAATTACACGCGAATGCCATGTAAGTAAAATCCTTAATGTTGTTTCACTACCTTTACAAATTCCGAGATATCATATTGTATTTCATATTTTTAAAATTTTAATGCAGATACACACGATAAAATTCCAAACATTCAAGATTTGTATGACCATTCTAAGAAAATTAACTGCGATGAAAGCCATAATGAAGGTACATTTATCAATCCATATTCCAGACCGATGTTAAAACTGCCTAATCACTACCGTAGAAATAAATAAAGTTATAAATAATTTTAAATTTTATTTAAGATCTTGAAGGAATTTATACGAAAGGTAAATCAAAACTTTTATTTCATGCTTTCCAGTGTTTTATTGTAATATATCAGATGATTATATTCTGATAAACCACTAGTGAAATTTATTAAATATAATTTTCACTGTAGCCGGACTATATCTGGATGCGGATGAATAGAAAATCATATCGAAATGGAACAACAGGTAGAAATAAATGCTGTCATGTGTAAATTTTGCTTCTTTAGGAAAAGAAAATCGACGTCACCATACATAATCTTCAAAATGTAACACAATTAGACAAAATTTAACAGAACTATATTTCAAAATTAATGATGTGACGTCATGATGTGATGACGTCACAAAGGAAAATGCGCGACGTTACGCGGCAAAATCAGTAAAAAATTACTTAAATTCACTTAAAAAGCATGAAATTAAAAGAAAATCTATTTGTTTTACATATATAAGATTGAAATATATTTCATTCGTGAACACCAGCTGTTATATTTTCACTCGTGGCTACGCCACTCGTGAAAATATTGCATCTGGTGTTCACTCAGTGAAATTATATTTCAATCTTACATGCAAAACCAACAAATATCCTCTATTTATTAAATACGTCAACTTCAGTTTGAAATTCGAACGTTATAAAAATCGATTAGATCTATATATATCATAAAACAACTTACTATTTATGAACTTATATCCTATTTTCTGAAATTTAAAATAAGGTCTAGTGCAGTTTTTCTTCACACTTAATCAACAAACTTACAAGGCTTCTGTGACGCTATTAAATATGATGATCTAGTTTTTAACATTTCCAATTGAATAATGTAATAGTATACCCAAATGTATAGTGGCTGATTTGCGCCGTTCGTGTATTCGCCCCGCGACCCCGCCAAGCGAAAAGTCGAAGATTAACAAGTTAAAATTGCGTGGGTGCGGGGCTAAAAGTCGAGATTTAATCGTAAAACGGTCGGGCCGCGAAGCGAAATATCTATTCTTATAGGACGCTAATGAGCCTACTGTTGTTCGTGTCAAGCCAAATAATTCTTGAAATGCTCGACTTTTCGCTCTGCGGCCCAGCTAATTAACGTGTTTTCTCTCTGTGCCCCCGCGAATTTCGACTTTTCGCTAAGCGCCGCCGCGAATCCCAACTTTTTGTCCCGCGTCCCGCTAATAAGCGTGTTTTCGCTCCGCGCCCCCGTCGTTTCACTCATTCATTAAACCTCGTTTCGCGCTGCCGCTGGTCGACGTTTTGTTTATTTCATTTCGCCATACGCTGCTGCTTATTGGCGTGTTTTCGCTCCGCACCCCTCCATTTAATTTCTTAAATCTCGCAGGGCGGAGATAAATAAATGTATAAAAATATTATTATTATTAATATTATTATTATTATTATTATTATATTAGTGTGTTTCCGCCATTTTAACTTGTTAATTCTCGACTTTTCGCTTTGGCGGGGTCGCAAGGCGTAAACACGAAATGGCACAAACAAGCCACCATACAAATGTCAATCTTAGTACAGTCGCACCACCACCCTTTGCTAAGTAACGAAGTGTAACGGATATCGACATAAATGCCTTTTTCAATCTCGCATTGATCAATGCAGTCACAATTTTCTCATCAGCTTGTGATTACCTCTATTGATTTAATTGTTTCTGATCTAAACGCATATTTATATATGCAGTGCCTATTGTCACGATAACACAAAAGGAATCTAAATCAGCCACTATATCACATTAAAACATACATGCCTATAATCTTTAAACCTTGTACATTGTATAGGTTAAAGTTTAGTAGTACTATTTACAAAATTAAATTGGTCAGGCATGGCGCAGTATTTGAAGTTTTTTTCCCTTTAACCTATTTTATTTACACATAATTATTATTTGTATTTAAAGGTAATGTAGTAAAATGTACTATTCTTTTTCTTGTTGTATACACATGTACATAAACTGCTGTACACATGTACATATAATTTGTTAATTAGCTGTAAAGACAGGTTACATGGCCGTATATAATTAAAGGTTTGTGTGTGTGTGTATATATATATATACGAGTATATAGTTTGATCTCTTTCTCAATTGGCAGAACGAGCATAATGTTGTTTTTATGTCATCTGTAACAAAGTGATTTACATGTATATCTCCTGAACAGAATAAATAAAATCTTTTTGTTGAAGTTTTCACTTGATATAATCGTTTCCAGTGCTTCCGAGGGATCTCACATTTCTCAGATTGTTTAATTTTACAACAATGAATGTCAAGTGCATTGTAGAAACTGTAAAATATTGCCCTTACATTTTGAACAGTGAATACCATTTATTAATCAACTGGTTTAATGGGAACGAGAGATATTCCACGTTTACATTACCACTTATGAAATGTCTCAAACATATCGAGTATGCATTTTTTTAAATGTATTGTTTTTTACATTGATTGTTTCCGAGTCAGATTGCTTTACCAAGCCTGTCAATCAAACTTAGCATACATTCTTTACTTATTCATCAGGCGTTATTTGTGATAAAGTTTTAGCAAAACAATATAACTAGAAGCTCTGTGACAACTAAGTAATAAAAATAAACTGGTCTTAACGTTTAGGGGGTTCCCTGTTTAAGGCAGGTTAGCTCTAATTGCATGTATATAACATGTATATAACATGTGTGATGTATTCGACCGAAACATTCACTTGCAAAAACGTATAAATTGATAAATTCATATGACAAAGGCTAAAACAGTAAAAACAAATTATTACATGTTGTAAAGTGTAACTGTGACACGATAAGGTTTAGGAAATAGTTTGTGAATTAGTTAGAAATAGGAAACGAAGATCAATATGTTTTTTATGAAAGCAGTATCATTACAATGCAGTAGAAAAGGTATACCTAACACACATGTCACCTTATTTACAAGCTAATAATGAAATGTTACATATCTCTCCTAATTTTCCTATAAATAAGACTAATCTTTTCAACACCTGGTATACAGATTATTTACATTAAAAGAAAGGAAAGATTGATTTTTTTGGTATTACGCCGATTTTAGCATTTTCCATTTTTGTCACATATCGGCGGTCGTTTCATCTAACCGGGCCTCCTAGAGAAAATAATTAGTAATTACCAATTTCTTTACAAGTGACTGTTTTCTAACCCCACACAATTTTCCAAATCGGTTTCGAATGACAATTGACCATAAGTGTCACAGCGATAATACGCTTTGCCCGAGGAGAGAAATAGTCTGAAGCTGAATAAACTTTCCAGTTTGTCAAGTTTGTCGCAGACAAAATACAACATACGCTCTGTAAGGGAAGGGAGAAAGATGTCGCATCTTTCATTTTCTAATGAACAGTCTCAATCAAACCGAATTCTTTCCCTATTATTGTCCTTGTTTTCAAGAGATGTTTCCTTTATTTATCATTGTAAACAATTACAGGAATGTTTCTGTCAAATTTCTGCAAGCTTTTATATTCTCCATCATTAGTACAGCTGGACACTCTCCCCTTCATTTATTAAAAAATAAAAGATTGATTAAGATCAATGTAATCCAAGTATATAAACGTCTTTTGTATAAGCTTTCACTTTACGAATATTTTGCATTCAATAACATATAATTACAAATTTCTTCAATGAACATAAAATCAATCTTTGTGGCTTGAATCATATTAATTATGTAGCTAGCAGGTCTTGAATATATGAATGTGCATGACCACAAATACAAGTAATTGATAAAATCATGGTTGGAGCTTAACTATTTAAGAGGGCCATTTTAGAGAAAGTGTCCTTCATGATAAAAACAAATGTTATGTTTTCATGTCTTCATTTGACTTTATTTCATTATTATACAAAGCAAGTACTATTTTCAAAATTACCAGACAAAAATAGACATACCATTATATATTGTAACAATAGGCATTAAAATATAGTTACAAAGGGTCAGTTTGAAATAATTGTTCTAATAAATCAGGTTTAGAGCTATCTTCAACTGTGAGAAGGCGTGACCATAATTCCACCATCGTCTTGACCGGAACTTTTCCTTTAACAGGATTCAAGTCATTAAACCATCTACGGTCAACATTCTCGTTATGCTCAGCCGATTCAAACATAACAATAAGTTCTTGTTCTGTTATCATACCATCTCCATTTATGTCCATTAAGTTACATACAAGTTCCTCGTTTTCCCACATTCTTTTGACAAACATTTCTTTATCTGACTCATATGCCTTTCTCTGGTACTCAACAAATTCGGCCTCCGTGATTTCTGAATGTCCCCACATTAGATGCTCACTCCACCATTTGGTGTATGTATCCATTGCAACTTTCTTTCTTTCGGAAGTTCAAATATGGAGATTAGCAAATCTATTCCTAAAACATCATTCACAATAATTTCTTTATTAAAATTCACAGTAAAATAAAGAAAATGGAAGCTAAATGTTTTAATTTGTTTATTAGTTCTATGTATGTACATGTTACAACGAGCATAGAATATAAATATTTAACTTATTTTCATGTTATATTATTTGAAGCATAATCTTATCGGAATCATGTTTCGTCTCACAACAATTTTAAAATATTTAAAACCCTATCACCGTTATCATTTCGTTTATTTGTGAGTAAATACCTTGCTGTTGTCAAATCTGCAGTATTAACGTTGCCATCTTTGTCATGATCAAACCAGGAAAACCACATTTTCCATTTTGAGATAAGAAATTCGTTGTCATTTGCAGTCTGTTATTGTAATAATAAAGTTTTAAGTTTAGGCCAAATCACTCGCAGGGCCATGTAATGCATCTTCATTTGTAACGAAATGTAAAAGTGGAAATAGAAGAATAACGAACTTCTAAATGATCAAATATATTGTTAATTGTTGGACCTGGGTCTTAATGTTTAAAAATTTTGTTACTGACATTACCCTTTGTAGGATAGAGTAAATGGACCTTTACGATAAGCTGATCTAATGAGACTGATATCGGGCTTGCCTAAATGTTAATTATTGTTACAGCTGTATTGGTTTGATGAATAGATTGTGAGTCATACCGGCTCTGTAAAGGTCAAATCATTACTGATGGAGAGAACCTCATGTGTTCCTACCTGCATTATTGCAGACATGAGCGGGCATGTGAGTTAATGTTAACCAGGATGAAAGATTCATCAGATGACAGACAACAATCCTAATAAACAGCGGCTAGGAGCAGAGACTTGAAGCCACTCGGCAATGGAAGGACTTTATCACAAGATCAAACTCACACGAAATCCAAATCACTTGACACGTGCAAATGATGTCTTATTTTTTTTTGTTCCCATATAAATGAACAACTGTTCTAGGCAAGTTGTTTACTTACAGACTATTACATCATAATATGATACTTGTTTTTGATTTGTTATGCTAATATGTTTATGAAATTGATAAGAGTTAGTGTCTGTTTATGTTCAATGTATTCACATAGGAAAGGGAAACAATATGTCGTCGTGCACAAAGAATAATAATTATATAATTACCTTGTTAAACATTATTCCGGACTTGGAAGCAGCTTTATCTGTTACAACTGAGAAATGAAAAAGTGAAAGAATTAAGGTTAAATACTTCTGAATTTTACAACGTGTTTGATAATAATTATAATACATGTAAAATTATGCGTAAAGCATTTGGTAAACATGAAATTCACTTAGTTTGGAAAAAAACACAGACCATATACAAAAAAATGAGTAATATATCAAATGCATCTCCCGTCAAAAAAAATAAAAGGCACAAAACAGGATAAGGAAAGGAAAATA